ACAGAGAACTCAGAACATTGAAATTATGATGAAAATTTGAAAAATTCAAAATTCAGAAAATTCAAAATCTGGATTACAAAACTAGCTCTAAAAGTTGCCAGAAGTCATTTTTTGAATAAAAAAATGTCCCAAATTTGAAAATCGCTTCAAAAAAACTTGTAAATATATTTTTGTCTTCTTTCTAGTCTAGCAAAAAATGATTATATAAAAATATTCCGAAATCTTAATTTTCGTGAAAATTCCTAAAAGGATTAGATAACTTTTCAGAATTGGACGATTTTGGATTCTTTTTGAATTCTGATGGCCTAGAAAAAGCTGGCCTAACTCAGCTTTTTCTAGGTCAGCGATTACCTTTTCTAGTCTAGCGGAACGCAAAATTCAAAAACAACAACGCTGGGGGCACAAAATGTCATCTTCCCTTTCCCTCTCTTTCTCTAATTCTCTCTGCTCTTCTTCTTCTTCTCCAACAAAATGGCAATATAATCCTAATGTTTATATCGAATGGTTTCAGTTAGGTGGTTTAGAAAATTGGTGTGGTGCTGCCTATGCGAGTGTATATATGATGAAAAACTCATCTATATTCAAAAACGCTTAGCGCCAAAAAGAAGAAGAAGAAGTGAAAACTAAAATAGATGAAGGGGGAGAGTAAGGGAAGGAATGAGAGTGATCTATCAAGTGAAAAATAACAGAATAGCGAACGAAAAAAAAACAGCAGTAGGAGTAGGATCACGCCTCCCGGTGTCTCTGGTGACAGAGAAAAAAAAGGAACGACAGAAATAGGAGGAGAAGGAGAAACCAAAAGGAAAAGAAGGCAATGAGTTTTTCCTAGTTTTTTCTTATATTCCCGTTACAAATGTTTTTCCTTTTCCTTCTTTTTTCTGAAGACCCCTCTTTCTCCGAAGAAGAAGAAGAAGACGTGCGCTTCCATATAGGGAAGAAGACTCCGCCTCTTCTAGAGTAATTGAAACCTTTTTTGAAAGCAAAAAAAAAAGAAAAAGAAAAACCTCCTAAAACAAAGAAACCGAGTAAGTGAGTTAACCTTGAACACGATGCAGCAACAGCAGCACCAGCAAAACCGATTGCATCTTCTTTTTTTCTGCTGACACGCTGAGTGTGTGATGACATGGGAAAATGAAATGGCAAATGAGAGAAATAGAGAAGAAGAGATAGAGAGAGAGAGAGAAAGCGACGGCTGTCAGTTTATCGATATGATGATACCCATGACTATCGATGATCGCTCTTTCTCTTTTCTCTTGCAGAAAAACCTGCAGACGACCTCCCCAGACGGATTTGAAACTTGAAAAGACCTTTTTTGAAACGGTTTTCAATCATATAGGAGGGACTGAATTCCAGAAAATCGAGCTCAATTATCTCAATTTCTATAAGAGATATCAAAATTGTGTCAACTGATAAAGAACCATGTTGATATCTCTTATAGAAATTGAGATAATTGAGCTCAAAGTGAATGTGTAGGGTGCCCTTCTATTAGAGTGTTCACTGTAGTGATAGTTAGTAGTGATTTGAGGGCGGAGCTTTTATAAAAAGATAATTATACAGGGGTATGCCAACTAATTTCCTAATTTCGCAGATTTTTGAAAATGGTGAATTTACGAGGCTCCGCCCCCTCAAAATGCAAATAGAAAATTTCGAAATTGAAAAAGGGGGCGGAGTCTCGTAAATCAATAATTTCAAAATCTAAAAAAGAGGCGGAGCCATGTGAATCGACACCACAGAAAAAAATCGAAAAAAGGGGCGGAGCCTCAGGAGTCAAAAAAAAAGGAACTCTAAAATTCCAATTTGGGACAATTTCCCTCATCTAATTTTTGTCCCGCCAATTCTACTTTTGATCTATTGGACCAGAATAGTAGATCAAGCGAATATACAGTTCTACGCCAAGGCTATTTTTCTACATAATTTTCCGGGTTTTTGAAGTAAAGTAAGCAAAATCGATCGGAATTTTTCGAGGGGCGGAGCCTCGTAAATCGAGCAAAAATGGCTGAAACTTCGATTCGGAAGTCGAAAAAAAACAAACAAAAACGAAGCTTTCTCTTAAAGCTCTCAGAATAAACAAATAGTTTTCCTGCAGACCCAATTTTTGATACCATCCACGTGGCGCATATCATCATCACTACCACACTACCAATAAATATAAATATAAAAAGGTCACGAGAGGTGACGAGAGCCCTCGGCTCCTCCTCATTTTTCTGCAGGAGGATAGGGAGCCAACCGGAGAGCCCGCACAATTTTCTAAGCGTGTGAGTAAATAGAGTTCGAATTTCGTCGTCGCGTGAAAGAAATTGTGTCGATAGAAGTGAAGAAAAAAAGTTGAACTAAATAACTATGGAAGAGAAGGATCTTTGTGCTCTTCCACGCCTAAATTTGCCACTGAAAACTGAGAATTTGGCCACTTTTCTGTGCGCGGCTGGAAAAATTTTCAGTCTGAAAATACGAATATGAAGCTGTGTGGGAAACGTAAAGCTAGAAGAGAAATTTTCTTCTCGAGCATGTGAAAATTCGGGAAAAAAAATTAATTGAGAAAGTTCACCTGCTCTCAATAGGATGATGGGAACAGAAATCTAAAAAATCGATGGAAACAAAAATGTTTACGGAGGAGTAGAGGACAGCAGCAAAGCCGCAAAAAAATATCATAGGATGTTTTTTTTGCTTAGCAGGGTCTCTCGGTCTTCCGGCTCGCTAAAAAAACAACGGAATTAATTTAAACAACTAGCTAAGCTGAAAAATCGCTAGAATTTTTTTAGACTTTTGAAAAAATTGAAAAAAAATACATTTTTTAATCAAAATTCGATATTTGAAAAAATGGAAATTCTCAGAATTCGAAATTTTCAAAATTAAGAATTTTCCGAATGTAAGGAATCAGGGATTTCGCGAAATTCTCCGGGGGAGCAGAAAAATTAGGTCATACTGAAAATCAGGCAAAACAAGTTGCGATCTGGCGACGGAACAAATTGGGTCAATTTTGAATTTTCTTGATTTTCCAGCGATTTTTGCAGAAAATAACCGTTCTCGAAATTTCAAAATTTAAGATTTCCGGAATCAGAAAAAAAAACCGGTCATACGGTGAAAGTCCAAGTGGCAAGACAAGTTGCGCTCTAGCGAAGGCTCTGTGGCATTTTTCGCTTCAAAAATACGAATGTTTTAATGTAAAATTTCGACTTTTCATATTGAAAACTTGAATTGTTCAATGTAAATTTTAGGTCGAAAATTATTAATTTTTTGCAAAAAAAAGGGAATTTTAAAGACGAAATTTCAAAATTTGGGTCCCAATTACGGATTTCTAGCACTGAAAATATGAAATTATCGATCTAAACCTTCACAATTTTTGAAATTTTTCGAGTCGAAAATTCTGATTTTTAGGTCCTTTAACACCAAAAATTATGAATTCTTCAATCTAAAATTTCAAACAGAATATTCTGGAAGTCAATAGCAACAAAATTCTATCGGAGAGAAAAATAGATTGAATGTCACAACCAAAGTTCAGTTTAGCGACGACAAGAGACAAAAAAATCGGATTCTAATAAAAATAATTCAAACGGCGAGGCAGAAAAAAAACTCAGAAATTTTTATTCAAGTGGCATTAGAGAGTGTGTCAGGGGAGGAGACACAGGAAGTGTGAAAAAAGGAATCGGGTAAAGTTCACTAAACTGTCTGTGTGTGTGTGTGTCAATCGTACAATTTCAAAACCAGTTGTAGAGACTGGACCTGCAAGTATAGGAGGAGAAAAAAGAAAATAGAGAGAGGAGGGAGCAGAGAAATAGAGGCATTCTCTCTCTTTTCTGCAACACCAACCAAATGGTCCCATCCGAAATATATTGCATGTCTATTAAGACGTAATCAAGCAGCGCCGCTTTGTGCGTCCATCATCATCATCATCTTCAACGTCTTCTGGAAACGACGACGCCTCCTCCATCATCTTCTTGAATTATTGACCAGAGCTTTGTGTCGGTCGCGTCCATTGTGTCCTCATCTTTTTACCCTTTTTTCTATTGTTGTCCCCCCAAAGAAGGAGGAGCAGAAGCACTTAGTTCTATTTTGCAGGGGAACAAAAGTTGCCAAAATTATTTTTGGCCTAAAAGAACTAACCGTTTGCCATGTAGCTACTCGCTTGCAAATACTGTACAAACTGCTGATGACGTTCGGCTCGTGTCAAATTTGCACTGGACTCCTCGTTGAATGTGAAGAAGTTGTGCTGCATTTCGATTATCTGAAAAACAAAAAATAGAAAATTCGGAAAAATTCAAAAAAAAGCGAAAATTCAAAAAATTAGAAAAAAAATCAGAAAAATATATAACTTTTGAAGATTTTGAAATTTTTGAGAAAATCGTAAAAAACTAAAATTCAGAAATATCGCTAAATTCGATAAAAATTCAAAAAGTTCAGAAAATGAGAAAAATATCAGAAATTTCGAAAAATTCAAAAAATATACAAATTTTTGAAAATTCGAAGAAAGCAAAGGAAAATGTGTAATGTTCAGGAATTTTGAAAAATTCAAAAAAATTCCGAAATGTTGAAAAATTCGAAAACTCCATAGTTGCGACGGGCCGGGCCGGGCCGGGCCTTGGAAAAATTTGTCATGGCACGGTCAGTTGGCGCCAGCTTCGATTTTTAGGCAAAAAATATTGTTTTTTTTTGGAAAAAAGTTGTTTTTATGATCTAATTTTAAGCTAAATTGTAAATATTGAATTTGTAAATGGTTAAAGGTGGGGGGACAGGAGATTTTTCGTAGTTTTTTTGTAGCTAGAGTATGCATTCTACCGTCACGGTGTACAACGCTTAAAGGAGGCCAGACACCAAAAAAAAAAGTTTTCCTGATATTTTGCATAGAGAACCCCCATGAGGGGTTGAACCCATGACAGGCAGCTCAGGGGTACAGCGCCGCTACCGGCTGAGCTACGGGGGCGCGAAGGCGCCTGACGACCGATGGTCTACATAAGCGCGGCGCGATTTCGTCCCCCGAAATTTTTGCTGTCTCGCCTCCTTTAATGTCACTCTGCGTACAGCTGTCGTCCTCGTCTTTATGTATGCAATCGGGCGTGCGCTTTCTCTTTGCCCGCGTGGCTCAGTCGGTAGCGGCGCCGCACCCTCAATCATCGCCCTCACAAGTTCAACTCCCCCCTTTAAACAAAATTTTGGAAAGTAATTTTTTCTTAAATTTTCCCGGAGGTGAGATCGGATGGAAAATTGCATTTTCAAAGCAAAATAACAGAAATTTTTTGATAAATTTTGATCAAAAAATACCCATCCGGGCCTTCAAAATTTTTCAAGGCCCGGCCCGGGCTAAAGTTTTCAAATTTTTCAAAAATCCGAGAAATGTTGAAAGAATCAATCTTTTGAAAAATTCAGGAATTTCGCTAAATTCCAAATAATTTTAAAAATAACCTAGATTTTTTCACCTGCTAAAATTTTTAGCTTGAAAAACCCAAATTTCCAATGCCGAACCTTTCTCAGTGGATGTTGTAGACTGGCCATCAGGAGAAAACATTCTCCGACAGCTACCGATGGACTTTTCGCATGATGGAACATGAATATGTGCCGCTTCCATTGATAATTCTTGAACAGCTCACCGACAGCGCTGGCGACGACCTGGAAATCAAAATTTTGGCGGGAATTTGAATGTTTCTGTTGAAATTGATGTTTTTGCTGTGTCTGTGTGTCCGATCCTGATTGTTCCTTTAAAAAATCTAGCTAAAAATTGAAAAATTAAAGTTCAAAATTTTCTAATTTGAAGCTGAAAATCGGTGAATTTTATCTCATGTCAGACAGAAAAAAAATCCAAAATTGAGCAAATTTTTAATAAATTGAAAAATTCAAGTCTCCCCGAATCTCACCTTGTACGGGCTATTGATTCTTGTCATTAGCTGATATTCCTTCTTATCATCCAAACTCATTGTGAGCCCAATCGGAGTGATAATCGGAATACCATTCTTCCAGTACGGCGACATTCTGGCGACGGGAGCAAGTGCATATCCATAGGCATATCCGATGATACAATCGATTTCTTTCAGAAGCAATTGCTCAACTGCTACGTTTGGACCAATTGCATCGGAGAGTTTCGAGTCTCGGTAGATCAAATTGATTGAGTTATTCGGTAGGATACTCTCATTATAAACCCGTTCCAATGCCAAATCTGCCAGTGGTTTCACTTTGTGAGACGAGAAATAGAATGGATTCTTTCCGAAACTGAAGCTGTCATCTTCGGGAAGTGGAATGACCAGATGGATTGGGTGTTCTGCGGAGATCTGGAAAATTATTGATTTTGAATTTTCAGATTATTTTGTTCGAATTTTTATTTTTTTTTTCAGAATTTTCAGTTTTTTTTCCGATTTTCAGAATTTTTCGGCGAAATTTCATTCATCAAAATTGCAGAGTTTTCAAAGATTTTTCAGCTTTTTTTCAGATTTTTCAAATTTTTTCTCGTGATTTTCAGATATTTTTCATCAAAATTTCAGACTTTTCATCGAAATTTCAGATCTTTTTTTCAAATTTTAGATTTTTACCGTCAAAATTGCAGATTTTTCATTGAGATTTTCGCTTCTTTTTAAGAATTTTCAGATGTTTTTGTTGTAAAAAAATTTGGTATTTTTATCGAAATCTCAGTTTTTTTCAAAATTTTCAGTTTTTTTTCCCGATTTTCAGAATTTTTCGGCGAAATTCATCAAAATTGCAGAGTTTTCAAAGATTTTTCAGCTTTTTTTCAGAATTTTCAGATTTTTTTTTCTTCAAAATTTCAGACTTTTTATAGAAATTTCAGATTTTTTCATCACAATTTTAGACTTTTTTCAAGTTTTCTTGTCAAATTTTTTTGCTTTTTTTTTCAAATTTCACATTTTTTCATCGAAATTTTATCTTTTTTTTTAGAATTTTCATATTTTTCTTTCATCGAAATTTCTGTTTTTTTTTAAATCTAAATTTAAAAAAAAAAAATCTAAAAAAAAAAAATCTAAATTTTTGTCAAAATTTAGATTTTTTTCATGGAAATTTCAGCTTTTCTCGTCTCAATTTCAGATTTCTTGTGTCAAAATTTTAGTTCTTCAAAAGATGTTCAGCTTATTTTTTGTAGAAATTAAAAAAACAATTTTTGTCAAAATACTAGCTTTTTAAAGATTTTTCACGGCAGCTCACATCTATCGCATGATTTTCAGCCTGAAAATGCCTAAATTGAATCTGAAAAATTTCAGATTTTCAGTGAAAAAATATCTTTTTGAAGCTGAAAGTAATATTTTTTTTGGCTGAAAAAATTTAATTTTCGGTTGAAAGTGATCAAAAATTTTAATTTTTAATAGAAAAATAGTAAATTTTAAGAGGAAGTCGGCCATTTTTGAGAAAAACTCACCTCTTCGAACTGCTGCCTTCCAGGCTTCCCGCCGCCAACCAATGCTGTGTGCAGAAGAACAAGAAGCAGTACATGAAGTACCGAATGGTTATATATAAATGTTCGCGCGTAGTTGATCCACATTTCGCACTCATCTCACCATTCCATTGTGCCGTTCCTGAAGAAAAACCCTCTTTCTTATATTACTTTTTTTCTCTTCAGCGATAAGAGAGTTTCGTTTCTGCAAAAAGTGCGAGAATTCTTTCAGTTTATTTGATGATAAATTGATAAAAATCGGTGCAGAAATTAGGTAAATAACATGAGGGGAAAAAAACTAGATTCGAATCTGGCGCCGTAATTGGAGTGTAATGGAGCGCGCTTGCTTGGGCATA